AAAACAGTATGTACTGATATTGTAGGATAATTCATATCCATAGAGACTTAGATATGTCTCTATTGACTTCCTAATAACATCCACAAGAGCCAAGATTACATAAAAAATCTGTACAAAATTCAAGCCACACAAAATAAAGAGCTATTGTAATCTCACCCTCCTGGTGCATGCAGGGCAAATTTGGATGCATGCTAATGAAAGCAGAGTTTCTGATGCCGTTCATATTTCCTTGTTGTTTCTGCCCTGAGCGAGATGCACTCATGGCCTTTGTGTGGCCATGTGTCTCAGTGGTCATGTGACAGCAGACACTGGAGAACAGGACGTCTGGGGTGATGATTATTGGCTCGAGTTTCAGTGATGAGCTTGTGGCTGCTGATGTTGTCTGCACATTTGACAGCAGGAGATGAACAAACTCTACCATGACACCAAATATGATGTTTGTTTTTGCGCAGATAATTTTAGTGTTTCTCTAGAGGCAATGGCATTGTGTACTGCATCTCATAATACATATAGGAAATTCAATCTTTAGTTTGATATTGCTACATGTTTCTTTTTTTACAGAAGTTAAAGGCACACAGAGGGCCTTTCAATATTTCTTTATTAGAGAATGAATTACAGGAAGCACAGAATAAAAATTGTTTTCAGGTTTGACCACCAAATCAAGTTTTTGTACATAATAAAGCATCCACAGACCCATTGAGACTAGGAAATCATTATAAAAAAAATAACTTTGGTCAAATGAATCTTAGTTTGAGCAAAACGTGACTTTTAAACAGCATCCCGATAACAGCCTAAACCATTCTACGCTTACAGATGAATACAAATGAATGAGTTTTACATTATGTGAACGCACAGAACTCATGATTAAAGTGTCAGTCACACCAAGAATGATAGCTATAATGATAACTATATAATCGCTGATACCAACAGTCTCTTTATTCCAACTTGCTTTATTCATGTTCTGTGAACATAATTGGAGTGCACACTTTAAAATAGCAAGGATTTTGATTGACTACAAATGTCTAAAACTAAAAATTCTCTGAAAGTGATTCCAAAGATGTTGTAATAGTTGTGGTGTGGACTTTGGTATTCTAGAGTTAGATCAGTGTTTAAAAGTGTGTTAAAAGTGGGTAAATGAATGGGCCTTAAAAGGAAAGTCCTCTACAAAAAATATACATTCCAAACCTGTACGACTTTCTTTCTTCTGCAAAACACAAAATGAGATATTTTGAGGCAGTTTCGGTTTCCATTGACTTTTATTTTAATGTTTGTCTTCGGCTGTTGTTTTGACTCATTGGAATTAATTACTAAAAGTTAGGCGACACTGGCATTTGACATAACGATTGCTAGATATATTACTTGTTGAACAAGAAAAGGGCCATCTCTGGGTTGTTTTTAAATCATTGCCTCAGAGTTGACGCAATCTTTGAAAAGACAGTCCAATGATGATACGAGTTGTATAACGGGCTTTGCCTGTCACTTCCTTGACTTCTCTGAACAAGGTTTCTTTGTTATGCCATCAGATCCTCAGCTGGTTTCCTTTTTGATTGATCCATTATGTTAATGTTCATTAGTTAAGGCTCCGACGCTCCATGCATGCTCTGTAATAGCTAGACCTTCTCCTCTTTATTTGCAGATGTGACATAACCACACAAAGGCAAATGACGTAAAACTGACACGTCCCACTATATCCAATCTGACAGCTAAAATTGTGAATAATTATTATAAGTCAAGAAGATAGTTTTTATCACTTATTTTTTGCTTGCTCAATAACTGATTTTTGCTTACTAAGATCTGTGATGTGCTGATTAAAAGCATAGCATTTATTGTATTCTAAAATGTAGTCAGTGTTACACTGTAACAACTCCTTTTTTTCTCCTCTGAAATATTGATTTTCTCCATTGACCTGTCTCTCCACCTGTGTCAGTCGCTCATCCTTATGTGTCTACATGTTTCTACTTGTACCACTTCTCAATAATACCAGGCCTAATACAGCAGCCAGATGCCCTATAACATGCTAAGACACTGAGCCCAGATAGATTTGGGTCTACTCACCACTCCCAGATCCTGATCGATACTCTGCAGCCCCTGCGCACAGAGGGAGAGAGTCAAGACAGAGAGCCTATAGAGTCGTAAAGGCCAGCTTTGATTATAAATGGCACTCTGGGGACAGAGGATGGCCCCAAGATAAGGTGATAAAGCAAAGGTGTAGCTTTAGATAATGTATCTGAGTCTGTGGACTACCCTACCCACACCATTTCTCTACACATTATTTTCCATTATACTGCCATCGATCGGCTAGAGGTAATGGCCACTGGAATCATAACCCGAGGCATAACTACATTCGAGGGCAGGAAAAGTTGATTGGAGGAAAGTAACAGAAGCGCTGAGGAAACGTTTTCTGTTTAGTTTTTTTGGATCACCAGGGACTGTAGAAAGAAGAGATTTTGTCCCCTACATTGTAGCATAACTGTAGTGGTTTAAAATTGGGATTGTGGTGTCAGGATGTTAGTCTGGCCTTTATAGATGGGTTTTATTAAGAACACGCATACCACGCAAATTTGCCATTTCATTTCTGAAAGTAACCCTGGTATTCTTGAAGACCCAGTGCAATGTCTTGGCCAGTGCAGTTTTCCTTTTTTTGTTGATATACACTCACCTAAAGGATTATTAGGAACACCTGTTCAATTTCTCATTAATGCAATTATCTAATCAACCAATGGCAGTTGCTTCAATGCATTTAGGGGTGTGGTCCTGGTCAAGACAATCTCCTGAACTCCAAACTGAATGTCAGAATGGGAAAGAAAGGTGATTTAAGCAATTTTGAGTGTGGCATGGTTGTTGGTGCCAGACGGGCCGGTCTGAGTATTTCACAATCTGCTCAGTTACTGGGATTTTCACGCACAACCATTTCTAGGGTTTACAAAGAATGGTGTGAAAAGGGAAAAACATCCAGTATGCGGCAGTCCTGTGGGCGAAAATGCCTTGTTGATGCTAGAGGTCAGAGGAGAATGGGCCGACTATTCAAGCTGATAGAAGAGCAACTTTGACTGAAATAACCACTCGTTACAACCGAGGTATGCAGCAAAGCATTTGTGAAGCCACACACACACAACCTTGAGGCGGATGGGCTACAACAGCAGAAGATCCCACCGGGTACCACTCATCTCCACTACAAATAGGAAAAAGAGGCTACAATTTGCAAGAGCTCACCAAAATTGGACAGTTGAAGACTGGAAATATGTTGCCTGGTCTGATGAGTCTCGATTTTGGTTGAGACATTCAGATGGTAGAGTCAGAATTTGGCGTAAACAGAACGAGAACATGGATCCATCATGCCTTGTTACCACTGTGCAATTAAGGCCGTTCTGAAGGCGAAATGGGGTCAAACACAGTCTTAGTATGGTGTTCCTAATAATCCTTTAGGTGAGTGTATTTCCTATTGAGACATGAAGTTTAGGCTAGACAAGTGCTTGGGCAATAACCTTTATTTTGCCATAATCTTGGAGCTCATTGTAGGGTCTTGACCTGAAAGGTGCTATATACTGTATATTAACACGCTAAAATCTCTCAATTGGGAAAATCAATAGAATTGTTTACTTCATGGAAACCTCCTGCTCTATTGGCACATCTCTGCAACACAGATGATTAGGAAACGTATGATAATTGGAGTCGTGCTGGTGCCAGATAAGAAGTAGATAAACTAAATGTGAGAATGTTAGGTAAAGATATCCTCCCAGAGTTCATCTCTCTCTCTCTCTCTCTCTCTCTCTCTCTCTCTCTCTCTCTCTCTCTCTCTCTCTCTCTCTCTCTCTCTCTCTCTCTCTCTCTCTCTCTCTCTCTCTCTCTCTCTCTCTCTCTCTCTCTCTCTCTCTCTCTCTCTCTCTGAGTTGCTGTAGTTAGTTACGCAGGGCACCTGTGTTGATTTACTGTCAAATCTTCCAGGATTATCTGTAATCCTGGAGCTTCAAAAATCTGTTTGCTGACAGCTGTGTTCTCTAACAGAACTGCTGTTTGCTGTGCACATAGTGTCCTATATAGCAGTAAGAGCTCTTTCTTTAAGGAGGAAAAGAAGGAAAAAGCCTTTTAATTTTCCGCTTGAGTGAATTTCAATTTACAGTTCTTCTCGGTTTGTATTGTGTTGTATTTGGCTATAATGCATAGCTGACTCTATATATGAGTCTTTGCCTTGGTAAATAGGCACAATATCACAGCACATCCTTTGAATGTCTTTTAATGTATTCTAGTGTATTAGGGGATTTTGCTCTTCAATAGCTGTGTTATTTTTACCAATAGGTCCAGGGCATATACTATAATTTAAAAACAGGACTTAGAAGATATTCTATTTATTCGTTTTTTAATGCAAAATGATACTAAGCATTTTACATAAACATTTACAATATTACAAATCCTGTTGTTTTTCCCAACATGTTCAATTAACATAAATAAATAAAAAATCTTAAGTTCTTAAATAATACAATTATTTATTTATTTATTTTTACTACAGTGTATATGTATTTTTGATAAGCTTGGATAATTATTTACATTACATATATCAGTGGCTCCTTATGTCTTACTTACATAATGCATAAAATGAACAAAATATCAAAGCAAGTCAGCAAAAAAAAAAAGAAGAAAAAGGAATAAATAATTCATGCTAAGCTATTTTCTCTAGTGAGCTAACTTTGGGGAAAAAATCAAAAACAAAATCCAATGACTTCCGGCCAACTGGTGTCTTAAGTAATAATTACCACTTGAGTTCATACATTTGTCCAATCAGAGAAACAATAGGTGTATTTCGTCATATTAACTATGAGCATATTTCACTAACATTTGACATCCAGAAAACAAATCTCAGTACTACAACCTGTTAAATATTTAGCTTGATAAATGTGTATCTTTCTTTAAAATAAATACCACTCTACTCTAAATGCTGCTCTAGTTTTCAGGTTGTCCAAGATCCAATCGCATTTGCCAATAATGTTTTTCTCGAATTCTAGGTGGTCTACAAAAACAACGACATACGACTGGAACTCTCTCGTCTGGCCCGCATTGCAGACCCCAAGATGAAACTTCAAGGGGATGTGGTTTTTAAATGTGAGAATGTCCCCACCTTAGATCCCATCTCCTTTGAGACGCCAGAATCCTTCCTCGGCTTGCCCAAGTGGAACACCAAGCGTGTGGGCTCTATTTCCTTTGACTTTCGCAGCTCAGAGCCCAATGGACTAATCCTCTTTACACAAGGTAAACCCCAGGACAAGAAGGATCCTCGTAGCCAGAGGAGCAACAAAGTGGACTTCTTCGCTGTGGAACTGCTAGATGGAAATCTTTATCTTCTGCTGGACATGGGATCAGGAACGATTAAAGTCAAAGCCACACAGAGTAAGGTCAATGACGGAGCCTGGCACCACGTGGACATTCAGAGAGATGGAAGATCAGGTGAGTTGATTCAGTTTCTTTCTAACTTAAAAATCTTAAAAATAAAGGGTTCTTCTGCACAAAGAAATTGGGTCCTTCAGATCTGCATGATGCTTAACGAATTTGCTTACTAAAATATTGTTTTAATTATTTATTTTGATTATTATTCTGTAATTGTTTTCTAAAAGCAATACGATTTTTTTTTCCTGTGTCACACCTACACTCAGAAAATAGTTTGTTCAATGAACTTTATTAAACTAAGGAAAACTTTTCCACACAGTTAGTTTAGGTCGGTACAATAAGAACGAAACAAGTTCATTTAAACAAATAAAGTTTTGTTGCAGCAACTTAACAAATTTAAGTTCCATGCACGATTGATGGTTAGTATGACACAGAAACCACAAAATTTAAAAGCATTTGAGAAACTGAACATTAAACACTAGCATGTATTTCCCTGAAAAACACATGAAATAACACTTACATGCAGATTAACTCCCAAGTTAGTTGATAAAAAAAAAGTGAGTTATCCCAACTTTAGGTGGATTGAACACAATAAAATTAAGTTGTGACAAAATGTTAAAAAAACAAGCATTATATCAAAACAACAGTCTACAAAAACAACAGCATACGACTGGAACTCTCTTCCAGCGCCTACAGCACAAACCCCAAGATGAAGCTACAAGGGGTCGTGGTGTAAACTGAACAAGAGGCTTTTTTTCTCACATCCTTTAGACATTGACAATATTTTTGTTTGATTTTGGAGCTTAAAAAGTTGTAACTGTAAAAATTGTTTAAACCGTCGGTGTATGAATGAGTGAGTGAATGGGTGAATGTGAGGCAATATGTAAAGCGCTTTGGTGGCCATTGGGTCTGTGAAAGCGCTATATAAATGCAGTCCATTTACCATTTTTAAGAAGAGTGTAACTTAAGCAAAGTTTGAAAAATAAATCAAATTAATAAATAAATGCAACAAATTTTCAGTAAAAAGAAGTCGGTAATGTAGCACTTTTATCCACAAAAGTAATCTATTCTAAATTGTATCTTAATTCTAAACTTCTCTGTATTAAACTTCTAAGAGCTGTTATTAGGGTTGATTCCAAATCCTTTTCACAGCAGATGAAAATGTGTCCTCTCAAAGACTTCAATAAAAAGTCATCTAGCAGCATAAATGTGTGGATGTTTTTATTATTACTTCTTGAGCAGAGGAGAATCTGTTCAGTAGAATATTACAGTGCAGAATTGTTATTATTTTGTCACAAACTTCATATTGGATAACGGACACTAGAGGGTGGCTCTTGTTTTTTTGCCTCTGGTCATGTTATACTCAGTAGTCTAAAAGTCTGAGACAACACTGGAAATCTGATTTTTCTTTCATTTAAACCTGGAAATGAACAGGAAGCTTTCAGGTTCTGAAACTTTTAGATCAAGTAAAAGTTATGTTGTAGAATGATGATATAATATTTTAGACTCTGCACTTGAATCACTTTTCTTCCGAGACCCTACTGTATTCAAAGATGGCAATTTGGCTCCTTTTCTGATTAGCAGCAGTCATGGAAGTCCCTAGAAACTTGTATTTCTCAACAACAAAGGGCTGAGAGAGATATATAGACATGTGGGTGTTGAGAGACCAAGAATACTTTGACAATACAGTTCAGTGGAAGAACTCAGAATGCCCCCTCAATCTGCCACTGCCTCCACACTGGACTATATTGATGTTTCTATTCTGAACCTCCTGCCTGCCTGTATCCTTTAGTACATAATTGTGTCAGAACACTTTAACTCACATACATACACACAAATGTACGGATCTGCCTATATCTGTATTTATTACACTTCTCTGGAATGCTTGATTTTGTATGGTTAGCAGCATTCTGTGTTCTGTCTCCGCTGTATCATCATACATATATTTGACAGTCAGCCTTCTTCTTTTGGCTGAGCTTATTTCGTTAACCCTTTAAGTGTCACCCCCCTTTTATTGAATATACATGAAAATGCACATTTCATCTCGTCTCGTTTTAAAGAAGACATTTGGCAGATTTTTGTACAAGTGAAATAAATTAAGAAAGTGAAACAGAAAAAAAGTTATAGAAGTTTGAGTTTATGAAAATGTTCAATGAAAAAATATAATTATTCATATTCAAAACCTGGGCGACTCTAAAACTGCAAAAAAATCAAAGTAAAAAATCTGAACAAGTTGTGTTTCAAATTTTAGGTTGATATCTCAAAAAATGAGCTTTCAGTAAGATTTTGTTTGGGCGCCGTACCAAACTTTTTCACTAGATGACAACCAGACTCCATTACTGCCCATATAAGGGCGCCTCCATTTCCAAATGTGTTTTGAGTGATATGAACCATTATTTCCACAATTTTCATACAATTTATGAAGTAGACATCCTATTCAGAAGTAATATGAGAAGTTTGGCAGATTTTGATATGAATTCAACCTCTAAGAAACACAAAAAGAACAAGTATGTGCGTTATAGCTTCCTGCCACATCACAAATGGTGAATCTATAATTTTTTTCTTTATATTTAAAAAAATTTCAGACCTTTTTTTCTAAAATAATTGAATGGATGCTATCTTTTGAACTCTTGGCATGAAAACAAACTGAGGTTTCTACCCTTCTTTCATGATTTTTCATGTTCATCACTATTTCAAAATAAAGGTCTAAACACGCCTTAGGAGTATAAAAATATTCTTGTTGCAAATTGATAAATTATGGCTCCGCTGTAATTCATTTTGAAAATCAATCACCAAATATGGAAACTAGAGATTGTAAGCTTTCAAATGATATATAGTTTGTCAAGATTAGTTTAGGTTTAGTATAGGATATTACTGTTTTAAAAATGTAATGGATTTGGGCCCACCGGTGGGCCGGTGACACTTAAACTTGAAAGCCTGTTTTTGTTTTGAACAGGTATCATCTCTGTGAACAGCCGTCGGACTCCATTCACCGCCAGCGGAGAGAATGAGATTCTGGACCTCGAGGGTGACCTGTATCTCGGAGGACTCCCGGACAACCGCGCTGGCCTGATTCTCCCCACCGAACTGTGGACCGCCATGCTGAACTACGGCTTTGTGGGCTGCATCCGTGATCTCTTCATAGATGGACGCAGTAAAGACATCCGTCAGATCGCCGAGGCCCAGAACGGAGTCGGAATCAAGTCGTCCTGCAGCAAAGTAACAGGCAAACAGTGCGACAGCAACCCCTGCAAAAACAACGGCATCTGCAAAGAGGGCTGGAATCGCTTCATCTGTGACTGCACCGGGACGGGATACTGGGAGCGAACCTGTGAAAGAGGTGAGTCATGCCATTGTTCTTGCGTAGCCTGACTTCTTGCCCTCCATTTGGCTGTAGGCGGCCCATGGGCTCACCCTCAGAAGCTGAGACTAAGAGTAGGGCAACACAATTGAAATAGTCTGGTTCAGTGTTCCCTGTAAGCTGATCCTCCAGCACACAATCAAAGCTCCTCTGAAACCCTCCACCTCCTCCAGCTCCACCTGCCTAGATCTGCTATGGGATTTATGTGTGACTATTCATGAAGCAGCATATCTCGCATGCTCACTGCAATGTGTCTGTGTATCTATTGGATCTATTCCACCCCAGACCAAACACATTAACATACATTAACATTGACATGCTAAAATGATTCAGATGCATATTATGTTATTTAATCATTAAAATATCTGAAAGCATAAAATATGCATTATCCATTAATGAGACTGGATGGAAAATATGCATTATATATTGAATTTGGAACTGGCACAAGGTGGTCATTGATGCAGCAGTATCAAAATGTCCAAGCACAAACTGTCTTACTGTTGCTAAATTGACGTTTACATGTGAACATTTGTTAGCAGGTGTCTATTTAGCAGCAGATGAACGTACACTACACACCCTCATTCACTATTCCATACGTTAGTCCACTAATATAGTCCACTTGAAAGAGTGAATGGAAACGAGTGAACAAATTCGGACACTTGAGCACGCTGGAAGGGCTCCCGCTTTTGTGCTGTGTTAATAAAGTTTAAGTATACTTGATGTACTGTAGAAAGTATACTAATATATACATAAAGTATATTTCTGAGAAGTAACAATTAGACTGAAAGTATACTTTCTCATTTTTTAGTTTAAAAGATGTATACTAATAGCACACTTGAATTTTTTTTTTTTTTTAAGGGAGGGAATAAAACCACAAAAAAGCTGACAGTGTGCATTTGTATCATGCTTGTGTAAACCATAATTAAACAATTTAATAAAAATAAAAAAAGACAAAGGAACTTACTGTACACCTGTATGATTGCTCTGTGAATGCCATCTTCTGGCGAGACACAGGAATTCATTTAGTGTAACCCTCATAGTGCATTACAGAGATTCTTCAGCCATTGAGTGCACACTGGTTGTATTCTCATTATCGCGATGCATCATGGGGTTAAAGGAATGCACTCGATGATGTCCACCATGGTTGTGGACACTACTACAAATGGCTCTCCCCTCAAATAGTTTACTATATAAGGGTATTGGGGGTGATTTCAGACACAGCCTCTGATTAATGATGTAACTTTTGGTGGTTATGTTTGAACGTGGAAATGTTCGTTATTTTATATGTAGAATAACATCTTTTTTTGTGCGGTGACCCCAAAACAATTTTGCACACACAGGCTGCACTAAAAAAGTCTTAGTAACAAAATTTAAAAGCAAGTGGCATTTATTTTAAAGTATTTTTTTTTAGAAAGATAGAAATCAGAAATCTGCCTAAAAGATCATTTTGGTTAATTTATGCAAAATCCAACCTGTGTGCATATAACATATACAGAAGCAGCATTCTAGTTATTTAAAATGTAATAATTCACAAGTATCATAGTTAACTGGACACATTAACTATTGCACACATTGTTGGCTCATGTTGACACTCAGTCAGTCTCCTCTGGCACATGGAAGGTTGAATTAATATTTAAAAAAAAACTATGGCAAACAATTCATTATCATCTGTGGACACAGTCACACAGTAGGGTCATAACAAATATGTTATTCAGGAGTTGGCTCTACAGGGTAACATAGTTGACATTTCCTCTATTTTGACTCAATTTCAATGTCAGGCTTTGTCTGGCCAACCAAAATCAGGATTTGAATATACAGTTGAATTGAAATCATAGAAATATTGCAAACAATTACACTCATTGACAATAGGTTAATGTTGAAAAAATATTGAAATAAATGAGAGGACTTTAACAATCATGTCTTCAAAATGTCCAACATAACATCACATGATGCAAAAATGTTAGATGCAATGGGTTGTTCGTTTATTATAGTTGACAGAACCTTTGCAGACATAAGAAAAAGAAAATATAAAACCTCTGTTTACTTGAAAGAAACTAAATTCATGCAATCAGTAAAAATCGGACGAAACAAATCTCTAAAATTGTTTTGTCTTTAATGCAGTGTTAAGGGTGACATACAGTAAGAGCACTAATGCCTTTAGGAGACATTTTGTTTTTTTAAGACTGCAGCCCAACCTTTTTTATTATTATTTTCATTTATTTAAGCCCAGTCAGACACCCCAAAACACCTGTAATTCATAAACCTTGCTTGCCAGTATATACAATATAATTGTATATACCGTCTCATTTTTCAAGAACATAGTTGCCTAAATACAAAGCACACAGTTAAACCTAAGTTCTGTAGAACAAATGAGGGTTAAGGCTCAATCTCAGTGAGTTCAGCTTCTTCTACAGAACAAGCTTTTGGATTTTATATCAGCAATGACAGCTGAGAGAATCCATGAGCCTTCGGCTGTACTGACACTGAGTGGACCGCAGTTTCTGCTTTACAGCTGAGGAGGAGATTTTATAGTTTTTTTGTAACGTTTCTCTGGAGGTTTAATAGGATTTCTCTTTCACTTCTACAGACTGTCTCTCTGCGCTCTTCGCTCAGGAGCATCCGAGAGTTAAATTGAACAAGGCTTGGAGCAAGAAAATGTTCCCATGGTGTTCAGAATTAGGAGCAAACTCGCATTAAGTTTTTATGACAGTTTGTAGATAGCTGCTCCTCAGGCTATTTGGGGATGCAATCTTTACACAGCATGGGTGGATTGCCTCTTTTTTATTATTCTACAAAGAATTTTCAAGTGTTAGCAGATGGTTCTGCCTCAGTTGTGGAAACCACAAAATGTTTCATCTTTTTTATTTCAGGCAAAGTAGTAAATATAATGTAATACAATTTAATATATAATTTTAAAAATATAAATATATAAACATAGTTGTTTATATAATAATTTTATAAAATAGTTGTTGTTGTTGTTGTTGTTTTCACCTATGGGCACTTTTGGTTCATTGGATATTTAGAAACTAAATGCATGTACACAATTTTACACCCACAAAATAGTTTCATTTGTTCACTGACAATTATACATCACAGAAGAATTCTGTAATTGTCATTTTTCTAAACCACACTGAGTACCACATCTTCTTTGTCCTGAATATACTATTTTCATAGCTAGCATAAGCATATTATTTATACTAAATAATAATAATAACAATAATTGTAACGGTTACGGTTGCTGCAATGAGCTCACAATGTTGGAGAATAAACAAAGTCTTTATTTAACAATCTAATAATGAACATGCAGTAGAATCATGGAAAAACACAACCACTTCCAACATAACGTATACGAGACCGGACAAATGAACTAAGGAAACTCAGGGCTTAAATTGAATTGAATTTATTAAGGATAGCCTCTTGAGATGCATCATCTCATTTTCAAGAGGGTCCAGTAAACACAAATACAGAATACAAAAGACAAATTATAAGCAAAATCATTACATAACATACATTACAGATACACATACAAAGCTCATTTATACACAACTCATTCATACACAAACTCTTACCCCAACTCACACCTACCCCTCACACTAACCTAAGTTTTTTACTCAAAGTTAAATACAAGTTGTAATAATAGTAATAATATCACCAGTAAATGTATAAAATTAAATTAAAATAGATTACAGCAAAAATAATAGTTCATAAATAAATGAAGAAAAATAACATTTAACAAATAACAAAGGATTGAAGTTAACTTAAAAGTTAAAAGCATAAACAAATTGTTTTAAGGTATAGAAATAGGGATGATCTGAAAATGGCGCTTTATATTGAAACAATCTACGTCCAACTTCTTTATAAATTCTAGGTACAAAGAAAAAGGGGTATTGTATATGTCTGAGTGGATATGAAGATCTGCTTGGAATTAGATGCTGTTTTAAATACATGGAGGATGATTAACATAACTTAGGAACACATGCAAACTCAATGAATAACCATGGAAACAAAGGGAACACAGGTAAAACAGGAACAAAGCACAGAAAACAAAACCAAAACAGAACTACACCTGCCATTACATGCCAACTGAGGAGGGAGGGTGGAGCAGGCGAAAGGCAGGAAACCAGGTGAGATGAAAGAGGGATAGACCAGGGCACCGATGAAGGTGGGAGGAGCCAGCGAGGATCCAGGAGCAGGAGGAGCCAGGCAGGGACCCAGAGAGCAGCCAGGAAGATAGCCCACAGTGTAGTCGATGTAGAGAGGAGCCATGGTGGAGAGTCGGCTGATGACACCTGGGAGAGGAAGAGCCCTATGCACAGGCGGAGAGCAGATAAGACCAGGTGACACCGATGGTCATGGAGGCCGAGGTGGAGCCGCAGTGATGAGCGTGGGTGCCTGAGGACTGAGGTAGAACCGGTGGCACTGAGGGCCGAGGTGCTGCCGGAGGGAAGGCGGAGCTAGACGGAGCCGAAGGGGTGGAGACATGGAGCACAGCGGATGGCTTGTAAGTCCATGGCGCAGGCCGGGTGACGTCTGACCAAGGTGGAGCCGGAGGGACGATGGTATCTGGTGGAGCCGATGAAGAGGCTAGAGGTGGGGGTCGAGCCAGGGAACAGGACAGAGCTAGTGGAGGAGGCAGAGCCAGGGAGCTGGACAGAACCAGCTGAAATGAAGGAGCCAAGATGCTGGGCTGAAACATCGGAGACGAAGCCAGGGAATTGGACAGAACCAGCAGAGGAGGAAGGGCCAGGGAGGCTCAGGAGAGGAGGAATATGGGTGAAGCAAACCATAAGCAAAACAGCAAGAATGGACAACCAAGTACTAAAACACAGGGCTATAAATAAATACACACAAACTGTGGGTAAAACAAGGAACAGTTGTGACTTAATTAAACCAATGTGTACCCAGGGTAACAAGTGACCAGGTTCAAAAAAAGCAAGGAAACTATATACAAAACCGTTGACACAAGAAAGGCATTAACA